TTAGTTTCAAAAAGTTTTTTTTAAGAAAAAGCTTGTTATGCAGGTTAGTCTAAATTCATATAGTTCGAACACGGAATTTTAAAAAAATCGTATTGTTCAAATTTGATTTCTCAGGAACTATTTGATCAAATTCGCTCAAATTTTGTATTTTTCCGTGTTAAATTACCTTCTTTTAAAACTTTGCAAAAATTTTATACCTTACAATTAAAAAAAATTTCTGACTATTATTAAATAAAAAAATAAATATTTACTATAAGTTATTTTTAAACAATTTACACAATTATAAACCATCTTTATAGTTGTGTGCAAAATTTATTCAATTCGCTTGAAAAGCTCTCGAGTTATTTCTGAGATTGCGGCTAGCCCAATATCTTGGGGTTCAGAAATCCGAATTTGTCTAAAAATTGGCATGCTTATTCAGAGAAAGTACGTTTTAGCGTCTTATTTCGTAACTTAAAATATCGCCCCTGCACTTTTTAATTAGCATATTTGAAGTCACCCCTTGAGCCATTAAGAATGAGTCCTAGAAAGTGAAGATCTTATCATTAGATCAAAAGTTATCAAGGTTGTTCGTTCATTTATTTATTTATTCTGCATTGAACGTCTAAATATTCATAATTTAAATTTCTTTATCCCGCAGTGGACTGATCATTAAGACACGGTTCCCAGCAGATCACCTAAGTCAAGCATCACTGGCTGCGGTCAGTGTGCGAGTGGGTGACCACTTGGATCAGTTTGCGTAGGGACCGAGGGTGTGCGGTATTGGTCCTCGTTAAAATTCTACCTAAACTGTTACTACTACTATTACCTAAACTCTAAACTGTTCTACCGTAAAGTGCTCGACTTCACGTGCGGGTCGTCGGGCTACCGAAGCGGGGGTGCCATCCCCTCTGCAGAGGATCAAAATTGTGATGGCATGTCTTCGGATCATCCTCAGGGATGTTTCCCAGACCGTCGCCAATAGCCATTGCAGCTCTAGTGCGACGTAAATGAACTACTACTACTACTTAAATCTGTTTAATTTGTTTTCTTTGTCTCTAATTTATTCCATTGTGATGCAAAGAGGATTTTTCATAATTTGATTTTATTAAATAGACCAGAATGTATTCTGATCTATTACTTTACTTTTTGCCATTTTTTCACTGTTAGCAAATTAATTATTACTAGATATTCTTAAAATAAACCGTCAACTTCCTCAAATTTATTTCTCATTAAAGAATATATTATATTTACTATTTAGTCTAGAATTTTTTATGTAATTATGTGGTGTAGCCCCTAGCTAGATCTCGGGGGGTATAAAATAAGGAAAAGCTTGGTGCTAAATAGTTTTATTACACATATAGCACACGGACTAACAAACATAAATTTAATTAATTGAGAAGATGAGAAATAAGAGGAAGGTCCATTCGGTTCGAAGTCTGAGCATCTACTGCCTTGTATATGGTGGTGCTGTGTTGTAGCTTAGCGATGTGGTTGCTACAGTGCATATATTTTCTTATTATCTGTTATTATATAATTTTTGTCAAACTAAATTATATTAAGAGCATCGATTTTTTTTATTGAACATGATATAGGCTACCCAAAATATATCATTCGATTGTATCTATTTAATTTATAATTGTCATAACAAACCGTAATTATTTACTCTGTGATCTTTAATGAATTTATTACATCACGATTATTTCATTGTTTTGATGCTCGCAAAGCATATGATTATTTTAAAAAAATAAATTTCCTTCAGTTTTAATTTTAAAAATATTGGGAAATCATCCGGTTAAGTCATAGTTCTTCTTTAAACGTTTGACTACGTTTGTTGTGAGTGTGCGTTTTTGTTACTAAATTATATTTGTAAAACTTTAAAATATAATTATGTTTAATCAAACAAATTGTCAGAATTTTTTATTGACAATTGAAAATACGCAAAGAATCTTCGATAAATATGATAAAATAGACTTTTTATTTCTAACCAATGATGATTTTGAATACACTTGAATGTATTACAATTAAAAAGAGATCATTTTATAGTTTGAGTTAATTTTAATTTATTTATTAATCTATCTTTATTTAAGTACAATGCAATCTTTTTGCAATATTGCCAAAAAGGTTAAATACATCCAACAATGTTTTTCTTTTTTCGTATCGTACAAAAAAAGAGAGAGAATATAAATATTTTAGGAAGGCCGCCAGTACGAGAGTTGCCGTAGGCGCTCCTTTCCATAGATACGCATCTGATTGGATGAGAGGAAATGATGAAATATTCTTTCAAATACCTTAATTTTTGTATAATTTAAGAACAGTAAACAGCATGATGAGGATAAAGACCGGTAACAATAAGTATAAAATCTACAAATAAAACATACCTCCCTCAATATATCTGAGTAAATTTGAGCATACCTATAAATGTAAATGTGGACCTTAGATAGCGCTGATAATTGTTTTTTTTTTTTTTTTTTTTTTTTTTTTTTTTTTTTTTTTTTTTTAAGTTGAAATTTATTTAGAATGAAAATTTCTTATGCTCCTTTGTAGAAACAAATTAGGCAAAAATACTTAATTAAATAAACGAAACTACGTGAATAACAGAAATTTACATATATTATCATTACATTCGGGAAATCAATATTATTTTCCAAGCATCTAGTTACACGTGTCTCTCTTTCAATTTTACTTAATTTATTCTCGGAAATATTACTTGAGAAAAATTTTAGTCCCAAAAATTTAGTAATTTGAAGGAGCGGGAATAAGTTTGGAATTTCTTAAAATAATATTTTGCACACCTATAATTGAAATATTAAAATTAAAAGTAAAAATAAAGAAATCATTATAGCCAACTCTCAAATTTTGTAAAACTTTAAAATTTTTAAACAATTTTTACCATATTAAGCACCCGGATTTATAAGGCAATTAAAGAAAATTACTCATATTTTGCAAAGTTGACAGAGAAAAATTATTCTATATTATTTTTTCTCCATTTATGCTTATGATAAGAACGTTTAAAGTATTACAAAATCTAAAAATATCTACTACTAAAATTTTACAATAATTCAATATTGTTATTATTTAATTAAAATTATATGTTAACTTTTAATTTAAAATTATTAATCTCTATCATGAAAAAATACTCTTAATTTTGATTTATAAAATTCCTTTAAGTTACTCTATTTTAGGAAACTTAAGAGACTTTAATTCACTTACCTTTATTGAAATGATTATGGAAAAGTATAATGTTAAAAGTCTGGGGCTAACTCCTTATTTAAATGGCCCCCAGAAAAAAAAGGGTTGTAATCACTGGTTAAGGCAAATAAAAAGATAAACTAAAATTTTAAAAAAACGCAATGGAAAGCAAATTAATAAATATTTAAATCCATATCATGAATTTATTTTTTACTTCAAATGAAACTTGTTCCATAATTTAAAAAAAAAAAAAAGATCATTTATAATTTTTTTCTGATGCACCTTAATGCTCTTAAACTACCAAAACTGCTTGAAAATTCTATTTTATTCATCATAAAATACTTTGAGCCAAATTTTTATTTGTTAAAAAATTTAATTTCATGTAAAAAGTGACAGTAATAAGTTTAAAAACTCAGTGAGTAAGTTACAGCTCGAGAGTTGGGAGTGTATAATTCAACTCTTTATTAATTAATCAGGTAACATAATAATTTAGATCTATATTTTTGTTTTAAAGATGCTAATTAATTAATGAAAATGTGATTCATTGGTGGATGTCGATAAGAAATGCATAGTTAATTTACTGAATCTAAATTATTATTTCTTTTAACACTAGTATGCTATCTACATTTTTATCTACTTTATTGCTATACATATTTCTTTTATTATTTATTTTGTAGCCTATTCCTCTGGTTCTTTTTTTCTTTTCTTTTTCTTAACATTTCACGAATTAAGAAGTAATCCGAAAGAAATTGCCCACAGTCACAGATTTTGGCGAACGCAGAGAGCTGAGGTTAGAGCACCCTAGAAATTATTATAATCATAATTAAAACAACAACAAAAAAAACAAAAAAAAAAAAGGGAGGGGAATTTCCTGTCTATATGAACGTTCGCTTTGAACCTTTCATTTTCGGTCAACTTATTGTTTAGTTTGTTTCAGATTTTTGTTACCAAAATTTAATCGGTTTTGTGACATTATATTTAGCCTCCTCTCCATAACGGTAATTGGAAACGGACGAATAAGTTAACTTATTCCGTTCTTTATCATCTTAATTAAGGTGATAAAGATTCATCGCTTTTTTAAATGAATGCTGAACAAATATTTTTTAATTCACTAAGAAGCATAAAAAGATCAAGTTATATTTCTAATTGGGTCTAATTAATTTGAAATTAATTTTATTTACATCTTTGCTGTTTAAAGAAAATAGGTCAAAATTATCGTTTTTTTGTAATGGTAAAATTTTAACACTTTTTGAAATGTAATTTTAATTTAGACATTGCTTGAATACCTGGAGCTATTACGCCCTGATCACGTTCAAAGAAAATTAACATTTACCTTTAATTATTTTAAAAGTAATGTTAAATGAACTACAATTGGAGAATCTCCTGTAGATTTTATTTACATGCCCTTTGGAAGGGACACCATAATATTTTCACTCTTTTAGCTTTAGATACTCAAATTAATAAAAAAATAACAATAAATCCTATTTATGATAACTACTTTTCAATAAACCAGCTTTAAAAGTATGAATTAGTAAGTAAATAACAATAAATGTAAAAATGACAATAAATTGTATTTATGATAACTACTTTTCAATGAACCTGCTTTAAAAGAATGAATAAAAAGAGAATGATGGTTCAGATAACAATATATTGTTATCTGATCCATCATTGTTAAGCTCTACAAATTTCATAAATTTGAATGTTTTTTTTAATGATTTTACATTTGAAATACTATTTTTATTGATTTGATTAACTTCCTTACCTATTATGAGTTTTGTTGCTTAAATTTTCCAATTATTATTATTAAAGTATTTTTTTCATAGATGGCAGCACTGAAATGTAGGTAGAAAGGTACTTTATTAACGTCGCACCAGAGCTGAAAGTGGTTACAGATATGTATTATGCTTTATATCTTTACCGAATATACGATAGATCTAAACGAACATTCGTTTTATTTTTTGTTAACTGTTAGATTAGTATATCTAATTTGAACACAAGTTTATTTTATTTTAGTTCATATCAATGAATTTGTTTTCTGCTTTTCTTTTTTCATCTTAAAATCAATAGACGCATTAATGCGTCCTATAAGGAGTGATTATTATAAGGAGTGATTTTTATCTTAGGATCATTATTCTTTATTTTAAAATGCATCTTTCGCTGTTGTAAAAGAAAGCATACTGATGAAAACTTTTACGTTTTTTCATCAAAATTTTTTACTATTTTTCTAATTATATTATGTTTCTATATATATATATATATGTATGGTATAGATAGTAGATAGTAGTATGGTATAGCAGTCATATAATATTGATAATATCTATGTAACCTTGAAAACATTTTTTCAGCGTCATGATATTAAAATAAAGATATTTTAATCTATACATATATTGAAATATCGTTAATATAATATCATGATNAAAAAAAAAAAAAAAAAAAAAAAAAAAAAAGATAAAAATATATATATATATATAGATATATATCGATTTTCCACTACTTAATATCCTGGTTTAGCGTGTCAAATTTTATTTTTGACTAGCAATTTGTTTGACTAGAAACTAGTAATATTTTGAGTATTAAGTTTTTTTAAAAAGCTATTTTTAGTGAATTTATTATTTTAACGTTAATTTTATTCTATTTGACCTAATAAATCATTATTAAATAATCGCCTGATTTTTGGACCAAATATTAATTTTTTTATTATTATAACTATATTGTTGCTAACCGGTAATTTGTTTCCTTTTTTAAAAAAATAATTAAACTGCCAATTTTGACTTTTTTTTTTATTTAAAAAAAAAAAAAAAGCTTTGTATCTGAGAGCTAATGAGTTTTAAAGTGCTTATATGTTTGCTAAGTTTTAAAGTATAATGCGTTTATTAGTGATTACATATTAGTGCATTGATTTTGCAAAAAATTGAAGCACTAATATGCAATTTGTATTTATTTTGGATTTAAGAATAGGTATGCTTTTTAAAACTGCTATTTTTAGTGAATTTTTTTGTGACATATCTTTTTTTTATACATTTCGTTCATTTTTATTATATCTTTTGAGCATCATATCTTATAACTACGATTTACAATATCAGTTTTATTCATTTTTTGGTGATTATTTCGTACATCCATGTTCATTTTCACTATAGGTATAATTTTCCTCGAATAGTGATATTGTAATCATTGAGAAAACATAACCTTTCATTAATTTTTAGCAACATTCTAGACTTGAGCAGTTTAGTTATAGAATTGGTTTAATGCTATGTGTGTACTAAATGTATAGTTATTCATATTTATTTTAATGTATAGTTATTATGAAACTTATTATGGAAATTTCATAAGAGTTTTTATAGCAATCTTGCTCACTTTTTGTTTATTTATAGCTCCTGCTGCTTATGATCCTGAACAAAGCTTGACGACTACATTAGAACCCATTCCGAAATATTCGTTTTTTCACAAACCTTAAAACATCCTAAACCGGACAATATGTCTGGTGAGTTGTTGCGTCCAGTGAATTAGCAATATTATTTTTATTTCTACAGATTAGTAATATATATATTTTTTACTTCAGTTAGTTGTTAATGTCTAACTACTGGAGCAGTGGTCAGAAAACTGTTTATAAATCCCTCTGTGAGCTACCAGTGAAAAGAGCTTCCAACTTTATTTTAAGTTTTAAATATGGTTTATTACCTATTAACTTATATTTCCATTAAATATGAAATCAATTTCCATTAAACTGCACCAAACAAAAAATTGAAGTGAATTCTACACAATGAATTCTGAATTCTGAAAGAAATTGAAGTGTAGTTAATATTATGAAGCAAATGAAACAACTGTACCGATTTTTTTAAATAGGCTTATTAATTTTAATGAGAAGGATGNAAACAAAAAATTGAAGTGAATTCTACACAAGAAAGAAATTGAAGTGTAGTTAATATTATGAAGCAAATGAAACAACTGTACCGATTTTTTTAAATAGGCTTATTAATTTTAATGAGAAGGATGGAACTTTTTTTTTTTTCTTCTTCTCCTTTTCTTTTTTTTTCTTTTTTTCCTTCTTTTTTTTGTTATCAACAGGTTTTTCGTAGAGGAAGTTAGTGAACTATAGTGCTTTGACACAATCTACTGAAAATGTCTCCGCGAATTCAACAAGCTTGTTTATATGTCAAAAGATAAAATATTGAATTGTGGCAAACTCCTTGACTTCTTCGTCTACTGTATAAATATTTTTAGGTGCACAGTGACATTTTCCTTATAATATATAGTTTGGAATAGAAATCTTAAATCTTCAAAACATCATGGATAGGAAAAGTGCAAACCGTGCTGCTCATAGTTTAGTCAAAAATACCTAAAAAGTTAGAATTATAGGGATTTGGACACTATGAAGATGAGTGAATTTTTTCAAAGTAAAAGTACAAAGTTCAAACTATCTGTGTAACATTTAATAGAAAACGCATCTGTAACACCTTACTTTAGAGTGAAGTTTATTGCGAATTCTTCTCGTAGTTTGATGAATTAATGTATAATACTTAATAGTAAAAATAAAAATATCTTTATTCTTTCTTTTTCGGCGCCAGGCCGATATGACATGAAAACTGTTCAGGATTCAACACCTAAATGTAATTTTGGACAGAGGCCCAAAGATACAGAGCCTGACAACAATCCTGGTATATATATTTTTTCTGATTTAAATCTTATTGCATTCATTAGTTTGTTTCGTAAATTCACTTTATTGCACACAGCTTGACTCTTGGTTTTTTTTTTTTTTTTTTCAATAAATTTTATTTTATATTGAGCAATGATGGGTAATAATATATAACGTCTCCTAATTGTTTGTCCTTTTCAGCGAGAAACTCTTGCTTTAAAACCTTTAAATTCGTGTTTTTTCCGTTACAAAAATTTAAGGTGTTCTTGTGGTGTATTTAAGATTGCTTTGAGGTTTATTGGAAGTTGACTTCAAAACCAACCTTTAAAAAAATCAACCTCACTAGGTCTATGAAGTTGTTTTATTCACACTTTAGTTTGTTTTGAGATTGATAGAAGTCTGACTTAGATCAACCAGCTTAGAGAGGTTAAACGTGGGTGCCATCCCCTCAAGGATGTTTCCCAGACCGACGCCAATAGCTCGTTGTGCAGCTCTAGTGCGACGTAAATGAACTGCCACAACATATATGAGGTTGATTTTATAAGATTTAAACTGATGAGGCTATTTTTAATGCAAAATATAATCTCGCTTTCTACTTATATTTTTTTACACCTGTCAACCTCAAAAACTCCTTATCTTTGTGAGGTTTAATTTCCATACCAGTCTGGATTAAATTTTATTTCGATACCAATTTGCGGTAGTGTTTTTAATAAAGGGATAAATTTAAGCTTCGCTGTTGTGCTCATTTTGCTGCTGGACTGAAAGTAAGACGGAAAATAGAAAAAATTGGTGGCAAAACCATTTTACATTCATAGCTGGTTTTGTGATGAGTAAAACAAACTCTTACTATTGTTAAGCCTTTCCGGTGCCAGTCCGTCAACACTAAGTCAACAAATATTTAAAGTCACTAGAAATGTAAAACTGATTGCATTTAAACGTTTAGCAAGCACTATTCTTTAAACAACAAAGAGCAATATTATGTCGCTGTAGTTAGAGAGTACTCTCTACCCAAGTAGCACCTAATATTAGGTAACATCAGAAAACCAGTAAAATCTAACGTTATCTTGCACAACTTCTGATATTAGAAAGATACAAAAGGTTGCTGTTTGCTCTGCATTATATAATACATATTAGATTCTATGCAAACTAATATTATCTAGTGTTTACCGTAATATAATTTTGAATTAGTTTTGATGTCATATAAAATAAGATTTTGTATTTTCTGACATTATCTTGCGCTGCTTTTTATTTTTGAAGTAAGCAAGAGGAAGATCTGGATGGTGGTAGAATAATTCGGCGATATAATTTTACTGAATTTTCTGCATTGCTGTGAAACAGTGAACCATAGAACAATAGTTTTATAATGTCATTCCATGCATCATTTATTTAGCAATACAGAAATGCTAAATAAAATTATATTAGCGAATTTTGCTACCATCCATTCTCCTCCCTCTTACTCCAATCCAAAGTATATCTTATGTTCCAAAATCAAAAGCCATATATCAAAAAAGTGGAGGAATCATTGGTATGCGGCCAAGGAACCGGGCTCTTCACTTGTTCATATAGGTGATAGAGCATATCAAACAGCTATTTCCAGACTGGCAAGTGGACACACGAACAGTCTCTCATACTTTGAAGGTAGAAAGACCTATGCAGTCTGCTCCAAATGTGAAGCCCAGCAGGCCTCAGCTGAATATATCCTTGACTGCTTGGGCTTTCCAAGGACTTATACGCTACTCCACTTCTTGTCATCGACTTTTTGAGAGTCAACAACCTATTGGATCTTCTCTGACTTCGTCAGACAATTGGAGGGAGCAACAACAACAGTATATCTTATGCTCATCTACCTTTTTTGACTACCATCAGTTACTTTTTTGAAAACCCTGCAATTTATTTAACTCTATATATTTGTTCAAAATCAATCAATTCCATTGTTTGTATTTCGTGGATAAGAGATTAGGCGTAACGAACATAGTAAAAACAAATATAACATTATATGTTAACGTCTTAAACAGAAAAAAGAGATGCTATTGCATACAACATGTTTTCACAAAGAATATACAAGACCTTTCAGATGAAAGTTTAAGCAATATTCTTTTCTATATTAATTGGGAATTTTTATCATAATGTATATGTTATCCAGTTTAAAGTCAAAGAAATTTTTACGATTATGATTATTTTAAAAATATAATATTTTAATTATGATAAAAATAAAAAGGAATTAACTTTTTGTCTCAAATATCAAGCAAATAATCAAGTGAAAATTTCTAAAATTAAAGTAATAAATATAATGCTGATAATAAAAATACTCACAAGTTTGAGATAGACTTTAAAATCAGCATTAAAAGAAAATTCCAGGAAATTTTAATAAAGTTACAATAGAGTTAGTCTTATGAATAAAATTTCAAGCATTCTAAAATGTAATGGTTTTAACTGAAGAGTAGCCGATAAATTAATAATTATTTTAAGATGGCAAACTTGTTAACTGAAAATTATTTTTTATCTTCATCATTGTTGTAGAGAAATTCTGTAAGATTCGAATAACCAAGTAAACATTTTGTTACAAGCCTATTTAAAGCTAACAACAATACTTATTATTTATAGTTATTAGACAATACGTTTTAACAGAATAGTCGACTACTACGAGTGAACTACTGATTGTCAAGAATGAGCACAATCATAATATTTACTGACTTAATTAGATACATGATCATTAAATACATGATCTTCAATGTTTTGATTAAGCGGTCAAGATTATTAAACACACTGAATGTTTCTATATCACAATCCTCTCTGACACATCATGCATTGATGCAAGGGCGGATCCAGAAATTTTTCCTAGAAATGCACCCCCCCCCCCCAAAAAAAAAATTTTTTTTTTTATTTTTATCTTTTTAATAAAACAATTTTTTTTTTAATATTCTTTTTTTTTTAAAAAAAAACTGGGGGTTTTCATGCTAGTCTTCTCATTTATTTTTTTCATAATGAACAATAGAACAATACATAAATAATTCAAGTATTCAAAATCTTTTAATAATAAATGTAATGCGTTTTTTAGCAACTTTGGTAAATCTGTCAATGATTTTTTCAACATCCAAATCAATTTCTCAATGAATGTTTAATAATGCGAGTCCATTTAATTGTTCTTGATTTTGAGTTGCTCTAAGCCAAGTTTTGATACGTCGAAGAGTTGAAAAGGAACGTTCTGCTGTTACTGTACTAACTGGCAGAGTTATTGAAATTCTCAACATCATATTGATTGATGGGTACAAATCGATGTCACAGGCATTAATAATCTTGAAAAGATTGACCTACCTAGGTGTATATGACCCCTTAAATAATTTCTAAAATACTTTATTTCTTTTGTAAGCTATTAAAAAAATTATTATTTTCAATTCTTGGGGGGTCATAACCCCTATGACCCCCCCCCCTCCCGCTGGATTCGCCACTGCATTAATGTGCTTTGCTTTTCTCGCTGGTTTTTAACCAAAGGAAAAACACTACTATTTTACTACTTTAGGTTATATGTATCATTGAATTTTGCTAAAAAAATTACTAACTAAGTTAGAAATACCTTTGAAGGTGAAAAATTCAGTCAAGCTACCGACCACGACCAATATGGCGATGTAATCCTTGATGGTCAAGATGTAAACAATTGTGAAGAAGTTACAACTCAACAGTTGAAAGAGTTTTTTCAGTTTTATATCGATCGGGAACACAGTTTACATTTACTAATATTTTCTTGCGTTTTGTGGCATACAATTGCATTGGCTAATAACGATATTTTAAGTAATATTTAATTTATTGTTTTCTGTCATAGATAAATGTTTATTTATTAATAATATGCGATGCCCTTTCACAAAAAAAATGGTTCTGGACCAAAAGTGATAAATGATATATGATAATTTTAAAAGTTCGAATGCTAGATTGAGTAATATTTAATGTTGTATAATATTAGAAGATAGGATTCAGGAGTCTATGGTTTTCTAGCACGACAGTATTGCGGGTTTTTAATGTTAGATAATATTATTTTGCTACCTCGGATTTTTAATAAGTGTATAAACATACAAATGCTTATTTTCCCGAAATGAAATAACGAAATTATTTATTACGCATCATTTTAATAAGTAATACCCCAGACATACATAACTCATTGTAACACCTTTTTTACTGAACTGAAGATTCTTAAGCATTCAGAACTAGAAAATTTCGTCAACTATTAACAATTTTTCGGTGGGTATCATTAAAGTTTAATGTTATAAAAATAAGTTATATCAAACCCACATTTTCATTCAGCTACATTAGGGCACAATTTATTATACAAATAATTATTGACCATCTAAAATCTGAACTCGCCCACCTTGACAGAAACGCCCACTTCGATCTGAACACGCCTACTTCGATGGATTGTCCACATTAAACAGTTGAGTTGCTACTTGTGACTGCGACATTATCCACCTCCTCGCACTTTTGCTACTCAGTTTCGTCTCGATCACGCACAACGTCGGCTTGAATACACTCGACTGCTAAAGGCAACACAGGAGCGACTACGACTATGATCTTAATACATCTCTCATGTTCTGAACCCGGTGACCTTAATCCAGCTCTCCCGGCCTGTCACAAATGCAGCAACTAGTGGTATCGAATTCTATCACAACTATAATTCTGGTGGGGAAGTACTGTAGCTTATCGACCACTACACAATTACAACTACAATTCACTAGTATATAAGACATGTTAACTCGCGACTCTATGTCGGGGTACCTTTTCATAGATGAAGGTTGACATGATCGATAACAACACAAGCCCCACACCTCCAAAAGTTGAAGCAACCCCCGGTATAGCTAAAGATTTATTTCCTATTAAAAACTGGTTTTTTTTAATCGCAACTGCATGTTTCACAAGCACTTTTCATTAAACGAAATTCTTAAATGGCAAGCATTTTTGACCGAAATTGTTTATTCTCAAATTAGCATACGTCATTAAAAAATTATTTTTTGCTGTATTTATTAGAATTTTGTACTTGGCGCATAAAAGTATAAATGAGAATAATACTGTTGCACCAAACTTAATGAAACTGAACAAGTTTCAATAATTCTCACTAGAAGACAAACTACTTCAAAATATCTTATTGATTACATGAAAACATGCCGTTTTTCGCCAAAAGTGCTCTCGTGAGCAATTTGAAAATGTGACTTATCCTTATATTTTCCCAGCCTTTAATTGCACTTCCATTGAAAAACTTTCATGCATTTAATCCCTTTGCACTCGAAGTACTTAAAACAACCAATTGGGTACTTGTAACTAAGCAAGTGGTTGTGCGTGGCGTGTGAACGTTTAAGGTATAAGGCTTGATATTATCACACTGAATCAATTTTTGGATCAGATTTAATTGCATACCTGCAAGTATCTTGTAATTAGTTGACCCACGCGTGATCTTCTTTGCAAAAATCCGATTAAACTAACATAAGTGCGAAAAAAGTTTAAGACGTATATCACAAACGTTTACTTTCAACAACTAACAATAATGAAACATAGTGCTTTTTTAAATTATTGCTACTCGCACAAATTCAGGGTACTGTGTTGACATAAAACTAAGTCGTTTTCAACTAATATTAAGACTGAGAAATTTTAACAATTAAATTGGTAATTATTGGATGCATTACAATAGTAATTGAGATTCATCAAACTCTTGAATTCAAAGTTAATATTGAGAGTGAGGTTTATGAAAAATATATTTTCAAATATTTCAGCTCCTGGTTATTACGATGCAAATTCCTGTCTGCAGAATGTGGAAGATAAGAACCCAAGCTACACATTCGGACATAAACGTTCACTTCCAAATGTTGAATCAAACCCCGGTATGACTAAAGATTTATTTCCTATTAAAAATGATATTTTTTATCACAATTCCATGTTACACAAACAATTTTCATTAAACGAAATTCTTAAATAAGTCATTTTTGACCAAAATTGTTTATTCTCAAATTAGCATTTTTCATTTAATTTTAATAAGCAATACCAGACGTACATAACTCAGTCTAACACCTTTTTCACTGAACTTAAAAATCTTAAATATTCAAAACTAGTTGGAATGTTAGATCAGATACTATTTAAGCTTATATAATATTAATTCTAATATTAGAATATAGGAGGTGAGCGTGCTGACATGAACCTAAGTTGTTATTAAATAATGATAACGCTAAGAAATTTTAACAATTAAATTGGTAATTATTAGATGCATTGGAATAGTAATTGAAAATTTTCAGTTTCTTGAGTGTAAAAGGGTTAATGTCAAAAGAGAGTCTTTGAAAAATCCGAAGACAAGCTACACATTCGGACTTAAACCTAAACCTCCAAATGTTGAATAGCAGACATTTTTGGCCAAAATTGTTTATTCTTAAATTAGCATTTTTCATTAAAAAATGATTTTTTGCTGTATTTATTAGAATTTTGTACCTAGTGCATAAAGTACACTCTATAACAAAAAAATCGACGCGCCAAGAAGCATTGCTTCTTGGTGCTAGATTACAGTGGTGCGTGCCTCGATCAGGCTGGAATGATGCCGACTGGGAACGTATAGTCTGTAGCGACGAATCCCGCTTCCAACTGTGTCCTGACGATCATCGAAGACGTGTTTGGAGACACACAGGGAAGAGTGGGGATCTCGCCTTCACTATTGCACGCCACACCGGCCCTCAGCAAGGTATTATGGTCTGGGGTGCCATTTCCTTTGACAGCCGGACCCCTGAGGTTGTCATTAGAGGTACACTTACTGCACAGCGGTACGTCGACGACATCCTAAGACCTGTTTTGCTACCGTTCGTATTGCAGCACCCTGGGCTGGTTTTTCAGCAGGACAATGCCAGACCACATGCGGCACGTGTTGCTATGAACTGTCTGCAAGCTTGTCAAACTCTTCCTTGGCCTGCCAGATCACCAGATCTCTCTCCCATCGAGCATGTCTGGGATATGATGGGAAGGCGATTGCATCTGGCACGGAATGTTGATGACCTCGTTCGACAATTGGATCGAATTTGGCAGGAAATACCGCAAGAGACCATCCGGGAGCTTTATCGGTCTATGCCACGCCGTGTGGCAGCTTGTATCCAGGCTAGAGGCGGGTCAACACCTTATTGAACTTGTTACTGTAACTCTGCAATAAATTATTTAATTGTTCTGAAATTTTAATCATTTACTATTGTGTACATTGTCCTCCTATCCACCAATTTTCGTTTCAATCGGATAACTCCTTCTTGGTGCGTCGATTTTTTTGTTATAGAGTGTATAAATGAGAATAATACTGTGGCACCATACTTAAGATCATTCCTGGTGGACGCTGGTCACTCGCAATATTCAGTTCTTCTATAAAGCCTATACTCTATTGCAAGTGAAGAAAAGAACATAGCGGTCTAGGATTTAATTAATCATCCACAACTGGCCATGTAGTTCCATTTTATTTCGTTAAAAATTATACCACTATGCCTTCAAAAATAATGTAAAATCTTATAAAGCTAAACAAGTCAGATAATTCGTCCTATCGTTTAATCATAGAATTATATATAAAAAAAAATATTATAGTTACGTAGACATGTAATTAGACAACAAAAGTATATTTTTTATAATAGCTTACTCAAGAATAGCCACGAGCTATTCCGGGAGTGAAGTTATATAAAAAGATTTGATTTATATATTTTTTGCAGTTAAAAATATACATTTTTTCACTAAGTGGATCATTAAAATCATTAAGAAAATAAAATTTTGTCTATTAAGAATAATAAGCGATAAATAATAATTTACATTTTGGAAAAAATACTCGCGATCACCAATGAAAATGAATCTATTGATGAAAATAAATCCATTTATTTAGTTTTCTCAAACAATATTTTTGTTAACTGTGTTTTTGTTGTGTGTATTTCTAAATCATTTCAATAATTTATTTAATGTTATTTAAACAAACATTTTTTTTAATAAAAAATAAACTATTTTCCATTTAAATTTTAAAATATAAAAATTATGCTTCATATATTTAAATTATAGTTATCATTAAAAAATTTCTTCAGTTTTATTATTTCGTTGATTTTAAATAAAAATTAATTTTTTCTCCTTTTTCGAATTTTACCATATTATCATTTAGTTCACCATATTAATAAATTCGAAAAAGAACTTTTGTGCTTAGTCTTTAATTAGTAAAAAATTAACTAACTAAAAAAATATCATGATTTAAAATTTAAAAACATTTCTTTTTTTACTTTCATAAAAACATAATATAATTTTTTATTTAATGGATTTATACAATTATTTATTATATTTACTTATTTCTTTAAGGAAAAATTATATTCTTAGAAAATTTGCTCAACAAATTAATTTATTTCAACAAATTCCGAAAGTAAGAAACGAAATTTCTATAGATTTGGAAGTTTTAAAATTAACATACACAGTTCAGTCACATTAATATGACCACCTGTCAAAAGTCAGAATAACCACCTTTGGCAGAGCGGACCGCTGCGAGACGTACAGGAAGAGTGTCAATAGGTGCTCCCTAGGATGTTGAGCCATGCCGACTCCAGTGCCGTGGCCAGCCGCACTAGATTACGCGGTTGAGGATCCATGGCGCGAACAACCCGATCGAGGAGGTCCCACAGATTCTCGATTGGATTTCGATCCGGTGAGTTTGCTGGCCAGGGGAGTACGGTAAACTCATCCTGGTGCTCTTCGAACCACGCACACACACTGCGAGGTGTATGGCCTTGTTCATTCTGAGGAAAAATCATTCGCATGTAGGGATGGGCATGGTCCGCAAAGACAGATGCGTACTAGTGCTGATCCATCGTGCTTTCCACAAGGATGAGTGCACCCAGTGAATGTCAGGAAAACCTTCCCCAAACCATAATGCTCCCTCATCCAACCTTGATCCTTCCGACAATGTTGCAGGGTGTTTGCTTTCAAACGCCAACGTCCATCTGTCCGATGGAGCCTAAAACGTGATTCATCGGAAAAAGTCACCGGTCGCCACTCTGTGAACGTTCAGTTGCGGTACTGGCGTGCAAATTCCAGCCTTCATCTCCGATGAACAGCAGTCAGCATAGGTGCATTAAACAGGCGTCTGCTGCGGAGACCCATGCGCAGCAACGTTCGCTGAAACGAACGTTGCTGAAGATACACTCTTGGTAGCCCCTTGGTTCATCATGGAGGTCAGTTGCTCAGCAGTTGCACGTCTATTCGCCCGAACGCATCTCCGTAGCCTTCGTTCGCCTCTGTCATCTATAGCCCGTGGTGCACCACATGCGCCACGCCGCTAATTTTGGATAGTGCCATTTTGCCATGCACGGTTTACTTTTACCATGGTAGCACGTGAACAGTTCACAAAATTAGCCGTTTCCGAAATGCTTGGCCCGAAATCCCCTCGCCCGAAAGCCAATAATCATGCCCTTTTGGACGTCGGATAAATCACTACTTTTCTGCATTACGCAAACGTTTGAAATGCTTTCCGATGCCCTAGGACATTCTTTATATACACTCCATTGTAATGTGCTACCACCTACCTTCTGTGATTGGTTATTTCACGATGACGTCGAAAGAAGGTGGTGGTCACATTAATGTGACTGGACTATGTAATTTAAAACTTCTTTTTATATGCACGCATTAAATTTTGATTACTTTTTTGGTTTCTTTATATTTTCAGCGTTCACTATTTTAATTAATTTTAAATTTAAAAAAATATTTTTCTCACATTTTTTTGATGAATTTTAAGGTTACTTTGATAATGTACTTTAAAATCATTACTTTTTTTCGTTCTGTATTTGAACCTTTTCCTCTTTACTTTTACAACTCAAAACTTTTTATCTTTTACATGTTGCTTTTGCTTCAAGTACCTTTACTTGTACTCGTTACATTTTAAAAGTAACGCTCCCATGCATGTTTACAAATCGTCAATTTTTTATTATTCTATCCTACTGCAAGAAGAAAAACACATAAGGGATAAATATCAACAATAATAATAAATAACGATATACAGTCTTGTACGGTAGGTGAAATGTTAAATTTTTACTGTAATAATTTTTTTTCTGGAGTTAAAAATTAAGACATCTTGCACGTTAATTTATTTAATTGGAATTAATTAAAGTTGTGTGAGATTAAGAGAATATGAGAAACTTCAGGGATGGTGATAGGTTATTTTTCCAAAGGTGCCATTTTTACATCAATCTATTCCAGATAGACATTTAACAAATTTCCATAATTCTCACTAGAAGACAAACTACTTCAAAATATCTTGTTGATGGCATGGAAAATATGGCGTGTGTCCCCAAAAGTGCTCTCGTTAGCAATTATCAATATATTTTCCCCCAGCTTTCAATTGCACTTCCATTGAAAAACTTTCACGCTTTTTATCCCTTTGCACTCGAAGTACTTAAACCAACCAATTGGGTACTTGTAACTAATCAAGTGGTTGTGAGTGACGTGTGAATATTTAAGCTATAAGGTTTGATATTCTCACACTGAATAACTTTTCGGATCGGATTTAATTGAATGCCTACAAGTATGTATGTTGAACCTGATTAGTTCACCCACGCGTGTTGCTTGCAATAATCCAATTAAACTAACATAAGTGCTTAAAAAAATTTAAGCACGTATATCAGAAACGTAATTTACTTTAAACAACTAACAATAATGAAAGAAAGTGTTTTTTAAACTACTGCTACTCGCACAAATTCAGGCTACTGTGTTGACATGAAACTAAGTCGTTTTCAACTAATATTAAGACTGAGAAATTTTAACAATTAAATTGGTAATTATTGGATGCATTACAATAATAATTAAGATTCATCAGTTTCTTGAATGCAAAGTTAATATTGAGAGTGAGTCTTATGAAAAATATATTTTCAAATATTTCAGCTCCTGGTTATTACGATGCAAATTCCTGTCTGCAGAATGTGGAAGATAAGAACCCAAGCTACACATTCGGACATAAACGTTCACTTCCAAATGTTGAATCAAACCCCGGTATGACTAAAGATTTATTTCCTATTAAAAATGATATTTTTTATCACAATTCCATGTTACACAAACAATTTTCATTAAACGAAATTCTTAAATAAGTCATTTTTGACCAAAATTGTTTATTCTCAAATTAGCATTTTTCATTTAATTTTAATAAGCAATACCAGACGTACATAACTCAGTCTAACACCTTTTTCACTGAACTTAAAAATCTTAAATATTCAAAACTAGTTGGAATGTTAGATCAGATACTATTTAAGCTTATATAATATTAATTCTAATATTAGAATATAGGAGGTGAGCGTGCTGACATGAACCTAAGTTGTTATTAAATAATGATAACGCTAAGAAATTTTAACAATTAAATTGGTAATTATTAGATGCATTGGAATAGTAATTGAAAATTTTCAGTTTCTTGAGTGTAAAAGGGTTAATGTCAAAAGAGAGTCTTTGAAAAATCCGAAGACAAGCTACACATTCGGACTTAAACCTAAACCTCCAAATGTTGAATAGCAGACATTTTTGGCCAAAATTGTTTATTCTTAAATTAGCATTTTTCATTAAAAAATGATTTTTTGCTGTATTTATTAGAATTTTGTACCTAGTGCATAAAGTACACTCTATAACAAAAAAATCGACGCGCCANTATATAACGAATTTATTTGACGATTTTTGATTTATATCACGAATTTATTTGTTTTATTATTGTTATTAGTTATTCATTGAAAAATGAATATACTGCTGCTCTTTCTTTTGCATCATTTGGAGCGTAGATAAAGCCACCTTCTGGGAATGGACCATATTGTTTCCGCATTCACGGTCAGATGCAGATTTTTCCATTGAAATTCACTTATTTCAATTTTTAATAGACTTAATTATAGTCAAAATTTTAACCTTTTTAAAGAGATATCAGTTTTAAAAATTTTATCTTAAGATTTTATACTATTGCACATTTCTAATAGGTTTAACGAATTACATGTCATTTATTTGAATTCAAATTTATTTTAATGACTTAGTATTTATAAAAATATGTAATTTTTTTTTAAAAAAAAAGTTGTTATATGGATTTGAATGATTGTTTTGAATTCTTTGAGTTTTGTGCATTTGCAATATACCTAAGTTAGTAGCGAGCGAAGCGAGCTTAATTTGCGAAGCAAAGCTTATAAGATTGCTTAGCAATTTTCGGGGGTTGGCGAGTTTTAGAGAGAGAGCAGGGCGCACAGTCCACTAGTATTTAATATTCTTTCATCAATTCCGTTAAACAAGAGTTGGCGATGCTGATATGAGTTCGAGCTAGGAGCTTAGCACGAATTTGGTGCGCTCTTATATACGAACAGGTTTCTCAATCGAGGTAATGGTTTTATTTATAAACTTGTAACAGTGTATAGTGGCAAATTTTTGATGAAGAATTTATACGCAGAATTAGCCAATACAGGTTTCGGAATGGAGTAATCAGTAACTTGGAAAAATCAGCAACTAAAAAAATTTTTTTTAAAAACTTTCATAAGTAAATTGGGATGTTTCTCTTTATAATCAGAATTTTTCTTAAGGTAGCAAAACTAGTATACAAATGTATAATTCTTTGCTTTAGTTAATTCGATTAAAAATTATTTTGCCTACCACTGCTTTTTTTCAAAATTATTACCATTCATATTGTATTTTATTACCATGTTGTATATAACTGGCAAGCAATCCACCAGAAGCTGCGAACAGCCATGGGGAAGGTGGATCCCCCGCCATGCAAATATATTGCTGTTTTTTCTTTTTCTATATTAATGTTTGTACCGTCCAAATACTAGAATATATGCCCAGTCATGTATCTAGTACCTAGTCATCTATCATCATGTTTCATGTCATGTTCCTAGTCATCTTATCTTTTTGAGTGATCTCAGATCTTGTGAATCAGTGAGAGCCAACTAGGGCTGGTACTGAGTTACCAGAACAATCCTAACTAGGTGCAGTTATCACGTGAGAAATCTTTTAAAGAGTGGGCATAACCATCCTTATAGTAAAAGTTTTACTATTTAATTCACTATCAATTTATTAAAACTTTATCAGAAGGCGGACCCGTTAGCCTCCCTGATAATATACCCAAATTATATTTTTGCACTGATACTCACTAATATTCACCCTGACACATATTAATGTCACTTGTGTATCACTTTATGTCATTCACTTTTTAAAGAACCATTACTTGTGCACACTTTCACATCTCAAAACTTTTTAAATTTAATAATCGTTCTTATAGCGCCTGGACAGTATGATTCCGATCAAGCTTTAAAGAAAGTGGAAGATTCAAAGCCCGTTTATTCATTTGGAGAGAAGCATCATCACACTCAATAGATGGATGACACACTGGGTAATCCTAACGTCTGATGAAAGAACACAAAATATTACTACATGTTAGAATAGAAGCATTTGTTTTCGCTTCCAATAAGGACATTACAATTGTATTACATTTACTATATATTCAGGGGTTAGACAAAATTGTGGAAATATACCAACTCTAACTCTATGAAAGCTCTATACTAACTCTATGAAAATAACTTTCGTTTTTTAGCAACAAATGTTCTGGAAGCTTTTACATGACAAAGCTCTTGGCACAGATTTAAAGATCATGCTTTGAGGTTTTAGAAATGGTATATTTTGACCCATGCAAAATTCGGATCGACCCAATTGAGGAGAGGAAGTTATTAACTTATTTTGAAATCATACTATAGGATTGCAATATTTAAAAGGATAATTGCCAATTTAAGTTCTGGGTACGCAGTACCTAGACCAGGGGCTATCTGCTCTTTTATCGAAATATTATAGAATTAAGGAAAGAGGGGGAATGAGAAGATTACGTTAGTAAATTAACATGATAATAAAATACACAAAAATGAAAAATCCTGGATAGGAAAAAAATTCATATATAAATGTGGTAATTATATATACTTTTTCAAGTATAGTGGTATTTAAAATAGGAAAAGAGCCTATAATTCCTACATGCTCATTTCAGTCCATGTAAATTTTACATGGTTACCCATGGACACCATTTCTAACAACTTTAAACACTATCTTTTAAATTGTGCCAGCTGTCTAACCATACGAAATCTTCTAAAACATTTGCTGCTGTAAGAAAGATTGCTTACATAGAGTTAGCATAAAAGTATTACCATATTTTTGTCCATCCCCTGCACAAGTACATTGAATTTCCTTAATAAATGCAAATAATTAACCATTTTGTCTCTTATTGCTTTATTGTGAGGGTGCCGATCAAGGTATCTTCTTGCCTCTTCATCTAAGTGATTCACGAAAGGGACATATTGGTGATAAAAGTAATGGACAATTACAATAAATTATTTTTAAAATCTTAATGCATTCAGAAAATCCCTCAAAACTCCCAGAAAACATTTCATTATTTTCCTAGAAGTGCAATTTGTTAAGTTATTTTTAAGCAAAAAACGTTTACTTTCATTTTCACCTGAAACGGGGAGTCACGTGATTATTCGCAAATTCACGCCACAAGTGTCCATCTATCTATCATTTACAATCACTGTACAGCGAAAACCAATACGTTCTTGCATTCGTTTGAATTTCCGTAATTAAATTCAGCTATTTTAGATGGTCAGTAACTATCTGTATAATAAATTGTGCCCTAATGTAGCTGAATGAAAATGCGGGCTTGATAACGTATGTTTATAACATTAAAATTAATTGTACCCACTGAAACACGGTTAATAGTTGACGAAATTTTCTAGTTCTGAATGTTTAAGATTCTTCAGTTCAGTAAAAAAGGTGTTAGAATGAGTCATGTATGTCTGTTATTACTTATTAAAATGATGCTTTATAAATAATTTTGTTCTTTCATTTCGGGAAAGTAGGCATATGTACGTTTATACACTAATTGCAAATCCCAGATAGCAAAATGATATTATCTAACATCAGAAAGATGCAATAAAATGCTGCCTTGCTAGAAAACTTTAGACTCCTAAATCCTATCTTCTAATATTAAAGCTAATATTATAAAACATTTAATATTGTTCAATCTAGCATTCGAACTTTTAAAATTATCATATTTTTCTTTATTTTTGGTCCAATACCACTTTTTTCTAAAAGGCTATTCCATATTATTAATTTAAAAAAAAAAAACATTTATTTATGAAGGAGAACACTGAATTAAATATTACTTAAAAAATATTTTTTAGCCAATGCCATTTTATGCCACAAAACGCAAGAAAATATTAGTAGAAGTAAATTCTGTTAGCAAACGATAGAACTCGAAAAAATTTTTCAACTGCTGAGTTGTAACTTCTTCACGATTGCTTACATCGCCTCCCCATATTTGTCAGCAGCTTAAAATTAATTGTCTCAACTACTGAAGATATTTATAATTTAGTAAATTTTATAAATTTCAATGATAGTTACATAAAACCTAAAGTAGTATCGTAGGCGCTGTTTTTCCTTTAGTTAAAAATAAGCTAGAAAACTAATATAACGTACTATGTGTTAGAGAGGTTGACTGGGTTGATTCAGTGTACTGTTCTGTTACCTTTCTAATTAAATTTGAAATTTACCCCGCGATCGATAACGCTAACTCTGTAACAGTGTCACCCAGTTTCAAAATAAAATTGAAATATATTCAAAACAGTTATCATTCACAAAAATTTATTAAAACCTAAATTCTGTATACATAACAAGCTAAATCCATTTCCAAATGCAAAACAACCAGCAAATTTATACAAAGTAAAATCAACACTTCTTACATTTTACTAAAAGCAATTCTGTAATTCCAGTAAAACTATAAAAAGTACAATAAACACTTAACCTAACGATTTCTAAAAACAATTCTATAAAAACAGTGAAACTATAAAAAGTATAATAAACACTTCTCTTAAAATTTGGTAAAAACTACAATTAAAAGTAAAATATCAGTTTAAAATCCAGCCTTCCAAATTGAACTTAAAGTTTTTAATATTAAAGTTAATTGTAAATCCAAGTTAAGAAACAAACTTCATGCCACCTCCACCGGTGATGCTCCTGAGTTCCTCGGAGCAAGTTAATTACTCAGACTCGGATAGATAGTATTCAGATACTCGGATAGATTGAATGTACTATAGTACATTCAATCTATCCGATACTACATTCAATCTATCCTATAGTACATTCAATCTATACTACAATCTATCCGAGTATACTCGGATAGATTGTAGTCGATGACCAACTTGTTTCCGGGATCGGACAGAACTCTGTACCATAAAAGAACCTGATTCCGTACATCGATCAGAGGTTTAGGGTCTGGCTCCACCACACAGCGGCTCTGGCTAAAGCAATCTCCTGTCGTCTCTGGCTGGCTATGTTAATCCAACAGAGGCTCAGTCATACTTTCAACTGTTTCGGCTCGCTCCCCCTCCTGTCTTAAACTCGTGCGGGAAACGCGGAAGAATCCTTCTCTGACCTCTTTATTCCCACGCGTAGCAGCGCAGCACCAGCGAACGTCACATCAAAAAAAAAAGTTCAATCAAAAAACAGTTAAAATAAATACTTTAAAAAGTGATAGAAACTATAATAAACAGATATTTACAAAAAATTTCTATTACAGTACTTAACTTGATCGCTTAATTAAACATATAAGAATTAATTTATTTATCAAGCATCTAATAAAGTCAGTAAATAAGATGAATTGTGATCATTATTGACAATGAGTAGTTAGCTCTTACAAGGGAAACTAGGGAAGTGTGACTCGCCAATTTTGAAATAAACTAGTGGGATGTATGCCTTATGAGGAATAATTTTAGGGGGCAACATTCGTTTCGGCCCATAGAGGGTCCTATGAGAGATAAAAAATAATTAAGTATGTAGAAAAATCGGTATTTCATTACTTCAATGCAGACTATTAGTTATTGTAATTATCTTATACTCCAATTAATCTTATGGTACTTTCACGTACTATATAATGCATATTTATTGTCAAAATTGATTTCGAAAATTTTATATATCTGTAGTTTTTCAGAAAAAAAATAAAAAAATTTGGCATTTTTAAAATAAAAAAAATTGACATCAAATTTTTAAAATTTTTTTTTCAAAAAATTTTACAATATTAAAACTAATAAACAGTAATAAATTTTATTTGTATGAGAGTCGAAATATAATACGCATTTTCCCAAACTGATGGAATTTTTTCATATTTAATGTGTATCCAAAATTGTGATTTATAAAAATAATAAAAAAAAAAAATTCATATTTTTAGATCTTGCAAAAAAATCTGAAAAAATTTATGTGATTGCATAAAATTAAATTGCATTTATAAAAATGTTTTCAAATTTGTTTGGCGGGAAATTTGAACTTAAAAAATGTTTAATATTTCAATTCGATTTTTTTCATAAAAGATCAACTGTACTGTATACACAAAATTTGAAGTGATATGTCACTTTAAGTGGAAAATCCGTTGATATCTATGTCCTGTGAATTGTTCAATATTTTGTCAAAACATTGCTATCTTTATAATATTATTTTTATATCTGATATCCTAGCTAATTTTTGAAATATTTAACTTTAAAAGTTGGCATTAGCTAGGATATCAGGTATAAAGATAATTGTATGAATAATATTTCAAAAATAGCAATGTTTTGACAAAATATTGAACAATTCACAGGACAATTTTTTTTAATAATATGTTAATTTTTTGGCAAAAAATTTAAANAGAAATAACAAGCTGCCATATAAACTTTTTTCAGAACATTTTTTCATGGGTATTATTAGCAAGAACCCCAAAACTAAAAACATTACAAATGAGGCACGGTAACTAAGGTATATGTTGACGAAAAAAAATTTTTTTTTTTGCAAATCACATTTTTGGATGTTACATAAGCTATACTCACAAAAAATGCCATCAGTTTGGGAAAATGCATATTATATTTCGACTCTCATATAAGTGAAATTTATTACTGTTTACTAGTTTTAATATTGGAAAATTTTTTGAAAAATAAAAAAAAATTTAAAAATTTGATGCCAAATTTTTTTTTTTAAAAATGCCAATTTTTTTTCTTCTGAAAAACTACAGATATATAAAGTTTTCGAAATCAATTTTGACAATACATATGCATTATATAGTACGTGAAAGTACCACAAAATTAATTGGAGTATGAGATAATTACAATAACTAATAGTCTGCATTGAAGTAATGAAATACCGATTTTTCTACATACTTAATTATTTTTTATCTCTCATAGGACCCTCTATGGGCCGAAACGAATGTTGCCCCCTAAAATTATTCTTCATAAGGCATACATCCTACTAGTTTATTTCAAAATTGACGAGTCACACTTCCCTAGTTTCCCTTGTTAGTTGTTGACTTCTCTGTTAAAGCGTATTGTCCAGCTTATATAAAGCGTATTATAATAAGTACTGTAATTAGTTCAGAATATGCTTGTAAAGCAAAGTTTGCTTTAGTTATCCGTCTGTGACAAAATTTTTCTGCAGTTAATTAAATTCGTTTTCAAAAGTATTACTTAATTGTTTTTTTGAATTGAGAATCCAAATATTGTAAGCTTTCAGATAATTAATAATTTCAACTTTGAAATTTATCATGTTAAACAAATGTATAAATAAAAAACTATGCAAACCTACCTTGTTTTCCCTTAACCACAAGTTGTTTTAATAAAAACATTTGCTTACCTCCAAAGGTGAAAAATTTATGTCTTCTTCATATCCTACGAAAATTTTGATACAGAAATTCGAAGTTCACAGGTGCATGTACGATTAATTTGGAAAATAGCAAAATAAAATCAATTACAATAATTAATTAAATCAAACAATTAGGCTAGTTGAAACATTTAGGACAATTAAAGGGAAAAAAAAGCTTTCATAATAAATTAGAAAATTTATATAAATTTTGCAAAAAAGAAAAATTTGAATTCAACGAGGACCACTTCAACGACAATGTGACACATCGGAGATCTCAAGACATAGTGACCTAAAGAAATGCTAACAAGAGCATACCCATATTTAATTCCCTAGAATTTTTTTGTTTCCAGCTATTTATGACCAGAAATGAGACAAAGCCCTTCTGTCTGTGTATATCAGATATTTCAGAAGTAAGCACAAAAGAGCTCAAGGCAATTTAAAGAAGCCAAAAAAATGTACCCCAGCGTTAAGTGAGGCTGCTATTTGACAACTTTGTGAGTGATAGGTAGGAAAGCGAGGATATTTTTATCAGTGGAAAGAGCGTTTTGTTGCTTTTTAGGTTAGAAAAGTGAAGAGTAACAATTATTTTATATTTGTAGACACTTCGATTAGATTTTGAAGAGCCTGTGAGTTGTTTGGTATCTTTGTTAGAGTCCCCACTTAAACTCTAAAAAGAAATATAACTCTAGAAAAGCCTTCCACATGAAAATATTTCCGAGAACGGATTATAGGTTTCTTCATAAATAACACTAAGTTTAAATAAATAACTATCTTTATTAACATTTAGGAAACTTGTAAATTTAACTAAAACATTCTAACATATATAAAACTTAACCACTTCAACATTGAAGCAGCATAGAAAAAAACTACGAAAAGGTAACCGGTGAGAACATGCTGGACTGCTAGCTAGAACCGACGGGGAGAGAGAGCAAGCTGTGGGGAGCAGTGGCGTACGCAGAATTTTTTCAAGGGGGGTGGTCATAATTTTCTGAAACTACTAAAACAAATTCGAATCTGTTATAAAGCATTATTATTTCCCTAATTTAGACAGCTAGACAATTTTGACTTTTTATTTAGACAACATTGTTTAGTTAAATTTTGATTTGATTTTTTAAGTTTAAGAACATAATGTAATATTTTCTGAAAAAAGTCTAATGTCATATGGGTGTAAAGTAACACTTTGAGGGCCACTTTCACATTCATCAGATTTTGTTATGCTAGAAACGTTTTCTTCAACGGAAGTATCACATTTCTGTACAACAGAAAAACTTACATTGGTACTAGATTCTGCCACCTCACTAATTTCATATCGTGATTTTTCTCAAAATAATTAAAAATTGCTAAATTCTTGCGTTAAAAATTGTTAAATCCTAAAGACCCAAGAACAGCGAATAGCATAGAAATATCCGCTATGCTACGATCTCAAAGTTTCGAGCGGGAATGAAGAACTTCAACGAGCACAGTATCTCTGGTATTGTTACTGATTTCTTCACTAGTCGAAATACTGGCGACGACGGGTTCGGCGATTGAATGAACTTTTTGTTAAGACAAATCAAAACAGATTTAGCGACAAGCTCCGAAAGACAGAGATAACTCTTAGTCTGACTAACTAACTCCACTGTACTCCGTTCCTCCTTTTATATAATTTTTCACTACGTCTCCAAAATTCTCGAATTGTCTCAAAGACGACAGAACGTCTAGGATTCCAGAATCATCGCGTAAAGACCTCGCGAATGATAGCCAGTCTCGATATCTATACTGGTACAGGACAGAAAGGAACCAGCCCATAACAGTATCACGTAAATTTGGTTTCAAAAGTACAACCCTATTATAGTAAATGTTTTTTTCAGTATTCTGAGAAATACCGTGAGAAAAAAAAAAGTAGGCATAATGTTAATAAAAATATATATAGTCTTAAAAAATAATAGCTCGCATAGTTTCTACTAAAATTTTTATTTTTGCCATTTTGTCTGAGCTCAAGGGGGGGGGGTGTTTAAACTCCTAAACCCCTCCCTTGCGTACGCCACTGGTGGGGAGGCGGCCAAGTTATATCCAAAACATACTGTGCGCGTTTTGCTGATTTCGCCCTTCACGCATATCTCCATTCTGGTATGAGGTTTACGTCAATTATCGGCTGCAAGCGACGTAGTCCAACGTCAGAGATTCGTAGTTCGGACTTTGCATTTCAGACCACAACGCCACAAGCGTCCGACAATGTAAAAAAGAAAGAAAAAATATTTTGAACTTCAGAAGATCCCACCGAATAATATCTTTAAAAAAGAAAAAGAAAGAAAGTGGAATTTGGGGGCCTTTGCCATCTCGGAGCCCCAAGCTACAGCTTATTTAGCTTAGATGTAAATCCAGCCTTGCTTCTAAATAAATAAAATTTATACAGAAGGAACGAATTAACAGCGAATATAACATTCATAATAAATTAAAAGCTTATAAATAAAAAGTAAACTATCGGTTTTTAAAACATTCCCGTATCATTTCTTCAAAAGGGCAGTGAAAGAAAAAGATTTCCAAAAAGAGGTGAACAGAGTAAAAGTATTTTGGAGAGATTGAGAAAGACCATCTGCGGAGAAGATTAGTCTAATCTTCTCCGATTAACCTGATTGTGGACCGCAATCGTCCCCGGAAGAATGAACTTGGAGGAAAAAGTTGCTCATTGCAAAGTATACTCAAATGTAGAAATTGACTTGAGTTTCAAAGGCAATATTAGAAAAAGTAATACAGATAAAAAAAAAAAAAAATTCGACACACATTTACGTAGGTATAAAAAAAATCAAAAAATTATAAGTTTTTTCTTCTTCTTCTTCTTTTTTTTTTTTTAAGAATTGATCACTCGATTTCTTGTTTAAGAAACAAGAAAAATCGATTCAAAATATGACAAGCCCGCTATAGTCTTTACATGTTAAAAGCAGAATTGAGGAGTCTAGTTGCAGAATTGAGTGCTGCACCAGATTTGAGTGCTGCACCAAGTATACTTGGTGCAGCACTTTTATCCCGGCAACCACGACTGATTTAAAATATATTAGTTGTCATTTTTTTTGCGGACAATTTTCGCAAAAAATCTGTATTGGTTTAAAATACTTTTCTCGTTAATAAAAACCTAATTTCTTCGTTCCAGTGAAAGTTAACATACCAGCTGTACAAAAATAAAAATAAAAATTTTCTCGCGTTTTCCATCCAAGAAAATATCTATTCAAATACAAAAATAATCGTCTATGATGCTGTTTTTTATTTCATTTCTTTGTATTTTATGAATATAATTTAGCATGTGTGTATCAGAAGTTTTCTCGAAGAAATTCTCCGATTTAACTTTTTGAAATCACTCATTTTGGCCGAAAATATTTACACACACATTTGTAAAGTTTAAATTTAAAATGTAAATATCTACTCTCTGGTGGTTGCAGCAGACAGACCTCAATTTTCTCATAGAACATTTTGTGTGCTACTATGTAAGTTTTAATACCAACCTTTTTAAAGTTTCATATCTTAACAATTATATCTGTTGCACATTAATTGTTTAATACATAAATGTACATTAAAGTTATTGCAGCCCGAATTTTTTAATATGCAATTAAATGTTTTTAAAAATCTACTTCTTTTTATAATTTGTAATTCAATACTTTTGTCTTCTACAACTTGGTAAAAATCTGACAGTAATATTTAATGTTCCTTCAAACATAAAAGAGTCCTACATTAAATTTTGATAAAGTTACGGCCCGCCATTCGATTTGTGTTTTTAATTGTAACCCCCGGCCTCATGTAAGTCTGAAACCCTTGCTGTAGATGTAAATGTAATTTACTTGCCCCCCAGATCATACTCCAATCCATTTACAAATTGTCCCGCAGTGAACTGATCGTTAAGACACGGTTCCCAGCAGATCACCGAAGTCAAGCATCACTGGCTGCTGTCAGTGTGCGGGTGGGTGACCACTTGGATCAGTCTGCGTAGGGACCGAGGGTGCGCGGTATTGGTCCTCGTTAAACTGTGCTACCGTAAGGTGCTCGACTTCGCGCGCAGGTCGTCGGTTTACCAATGCGGGGTGCAATCCCCTCCGCAGAGGATCAAAATTGTGATGGAATGTCTTCGGAACATCCTCCGGGATGTTTCCCAGACCGTCGCCAATAGTCCATTGTGCTGCTCTAGTGCGACGTAAATTAACAACAACAACAACCATCTAGAAATTCTTCCAAGCCACAAAATCCAAAGTCACAAACCGCTTTTGTCCAAACTGCAACTTAATGCTATCTATCAAGCCTCAACACTAGGCTGCATCAATCAATGGAAATATAGAGCTATAAGCTAAAGCATAGTGCTAGTCACACTCTTCTACAATCTACAATCAATCTAAATACAAATAAATCGCGGAGAAATGAATTTTACTTCAAAAACGATAAAAATGGATCTGACTTAATAGCTTTCGACAATTTTGGTAAGTTGTATGTTTGTAACTTTATTAGCTTAGCAAGATAGAGGAGGATATTTTCGTATTGTGACCTATATTTCGTATTGTGTCGATTGTAGTTGACCTGTCGCGCCAACTACAATCGCCAAGGGGCAAAACAGATTTTAAACTTGCAAATTTAAAAAAAGAACATGTAGATGTTTGCTGTCAGGGGAGTTAGAGTGTAGAATAGCCCTTTGGATTAAGCTCTGTAGCTTTAGCATGTACACAATCTAAAAATGTTTCATTTTCCCATTATTTCTTTATGGATTATTTGTTATTATAAAAATCTCATTTTAAAGTTAATTTCCTGGCGTAAGAATATAAATTATTGCCTTTATAAAAGGAGAGAATATTTCCGTATCGTGATCTGTCGCCCCAACTACAAGTTGCCAAACAGATTTTAAGCTTGCAAATGAAAAAAAAACATGTAGCTGTTTGCCCGAGGGCGGCTACGAGTTTTTCCTTTTAAGTTAATCTCTTTCTGTGATGTTTATTTTTAGTTTCTCGCGGGCGATTGCCCGGAAGGTTCCAAGATTTGGCGATAATTCTGCTACAGAAATCTCCCCCATGAATGAATAGTCTTTGATGTTCAGCTAAGAAAAGAGAATAGTAGATGTTATAGAGTCTGTAATTTGCAAATGTGTACAAAAAGCTCTGTTACTTTAGTTTTCTAGAATTTCATATAATTTCTGTTTTAAATTATGATCATTGAAGTTACATCTATAATTGTTTTTTCATTTAAAGATTTGGTAAAAAATCTATTGGATGCTCCTCTAAACTTTTTATTTTGGCGATATTTTTTAATGTTACAGAAAATAGGGAAATAGGCTTTAAAGTAATATTCTCTAAATAATAGAAAATTAAAAGATTTTATTAGCAGTAAAAACTCCTGATTACAGTGCCCAATCCAAGTGGCAACCTTAACACTTTGATTCTATTTATATTTGGGGGAATGTTTCCTTATCGAGATGAGGACCAAAAATAAAAAATAATCATCAAATTAGGGGCACTAATCTGTGAAGCAAATACTATTGTTACTTACCCATGTATTTTTATTTATTTAAGCAAAGCAGGGATAAAAATTAGTCAGAGTTAGAAGATAATTTTTAATCTAGTTATAACTTTAGATTGCATATTTTTAATGTTATTTAAAAAGGAGAAGCAAGATTATGTTTCTAAATAATCAGCTTCTAAACTGTACATTTTAAAATGAATTTCAATTTATGTTTAAATAAAAAAAAAATTTTTTTTAACAGTCAAATTTCAAAAAAGTAATCCATTTTGAAAAAACATAACAGATGAGCGTCAGTTTGAGTGATTGATGTACTAAGAACAAAAGTCTACTTAATTTAGTTTCTTCTTATTCATGGCATGTCTTAAGAAAGGGTGTCTATGTTTGAATGCTTGAAAGAGGTAAACTTTTATTTCCATCTGTATTTTCGTGAAGTCAAATGAAGTTTTTTAATCAAGTAAATTTGACTCGGCATCACATAACGAATATTTGGATTGAGAAAAGAATGATGCTTTATTATTGTTTTCTTAAGGGAGCACAACCTGCTGCCTGTCGCTTCATGTGGCTGTTTAACTGTTAATCTGAGTCCAGCGGTTGCTTTTAAACAGAAATAACAAAAAGAAATATTTGGAAAAAATTTTTATCGATAATTTAGAATTGTGCACGTGAGTTTAATTTGTGCAAATTCTATTGTAAATCTATGTTGTTTGTCTGTAGCTTTCTTCGTGGTTATTGATACAAAATTCCATGTGGTCTTAAAAATCTCGATGTTTTTAATAAAATATTGCAATATGGTAATTACAAACTTCAGTAATCACTTTTAAGTTCAATTTTTTTTTAAAAACTGATTTCATCATAAATCCGAGAGAAATTTTGATGGTTTTTTCTGTAGTTAGAACTACCAATTTGTTCTGACTTGAGAGTTATGAATCACACATTTAATTAATCACTTTTTAACATGCTTTATTTATGCTGATTTCATTGCGAATTCTGATTTATTTTTGTTGGCTAGTCATTTAGTTTTGCAAATCTTAATAATTTTGAAGCATGAAAAATTGAGAAAAACTTGAATTTTTTAACTGCTCATTGTTTTAAATATTTTGTTATTTAAGTGATTTTCTTAAAATAAAAATACAAAGCTTACTTTTCATAATAATCTCTAATAATTAAGTAAATGGAAATAAGATTTGAAATATGTCGCCAAATAAATATTTCTTTTTATTTTGTGCTAGAGTGGTTTTGCTTAAACCTTATAAATTTTTTTCAATTAGGATATTTATATAAAATTTATGTTACTCATTGAATTTATATTCAAATTTTTTATATATATTCTTTCCTTCTCTCTGTGAGCATTGCAGTTTTTTTTTCTCTGCTGTTAGAATTTATTTTAAAATTAACTTTAGTATTGTGTGATAAGATGAAGAAAAATAAATTTTTTCCCCGGACAGTATTTATAACAGTATTATATTTTCTGTAAACATATTAAGTTCACTGATAAAAAATGTAGTGCTTAACATTAATCTTTATTACATAAAACTTACCATATTTGCCGTCAACATCTGTAAAAATGTGTGCGTCCCTTCGTTATTCAACCTGCTGGACAAATGACCCTTCACTTAAAAAGGTTATGCGCTCCTATTTTACATGATGTACTTTTAAAAATAAAACTACTTAAAATCCGAATAAAGTTTGTTTATAAAACTATATTTCTGCCAACATTTTTTTAGTGTAGTAACAAGTTTTGAAATAACAAAATAAAATAGTAGAAAATTATAAATTAGAATTATTAAGGAAAATGTTCAATTTCTAATATTATCTTCAATAAAGATTTACTAACTGCTTTCAAGTAAAAACTTCAAAAAAACAACACTTTCAATATTTTATATGTTGAATTGAATTATTGTCATTGCATACAATACTTAGTTGTTTGTTATGTATTATTTTGTAAAAAATCATGATGATTGAATTTTTAATCTAATTCATAAAAACTCAGGAATTTATGAATTATGAGTATTTACCCGAATAAATACCTTGGGTATTGACTCTTATTTATAAAAAAACTGGATATTTTGCAAACTTCATTTTTACTTAAGTTTTAAACTTTCTTTCACAGTTATTCTTCAAAACTATATGCATATACTTCAAAAGTAAAGCTAAAAAATGGACCCTGTTACTGACATGGATATCGACGAGAGTGACATAATAGAATCTTCTGGAACTCTCACTCAAATGAAGTTTTTCACTATCGAAACTGATTTTCCAGGGCAAGGACCAAGTGATGAGGCATTTATAAAGTTACTTAACTATGCGGAAACAAAAGATATTCAAAGCATTATTGATAACATCATCAAGGACGATAATTACAGTGACATAATAAATAGGAAATTGAAAGGAAAAAGAATTGTTGATTTAGCTTGGGATAATAATTATTATGACCTAGTTCTGGTGCTTTTGCTGGGCAACTCTAATTTTCCTCTTAATTTTCGATTTGAAGATAATCCTAGTGACAAATTTAAATCCAAAATTATGGATTTCGCCAAATGGATGGAGGAATTTCATCAAGTCATAAAGGATAAAAATTTTGACGATGTCAAAAATTGTTTTATGAAAATTAACAATGAAGTCAAAGAGATGTTTGGTTGGTTGGCAGCGTTGTATCAATATATTACATATTCTGAAGGCTTTCTACTGAAGTATTACTTGAACACTTCTTCAAAATCTGCAGCGTTAACAGCTATTGAGAATAAAAAATTTGATATTTATATCAATTTAAAGTCTGAGTCTTTTTGTTTGAAAGAAGAAGAAAAAGTATCGAAAGCTTCAGAGGAATTTTCTGATTATTTGGGCTGTGCGCACATTAATTATTTGTTGTCAAGAACAAAAATATTTAAATCAGATCCATCATTTCATGAAATAATGTCAAAGTATTATTATTCACTTAATAAAATTGAAGAAATCTCTCATATCCTAAAGTATTTAAAGCATTGTAATCAAATTGTAATATATGTTGATTTAAATAATAAACTTACACAAGAAATGGATCCTAAATGTTTAAACAATTATGGACACACATATATTTATAGTGGAAACATTTATGCTGCTTTAGGAAGAGAGAGCAAGCTGGCATTGGGTACTTTAACACATGAATTTTCTCATTTAGCTATGTTTGATTTCTTTCAAAATAAGTCCAAGCCATATAGAAAACAGGATACTTTAAAAGCGCTGACATTTAAACATTTAACATCTGAAACCCAAAATAAGTTGGAATTTGTAAATACAAAAACTGGAAAAGAGCAAGAAATGAAAAATATTATTGGTGTTGGTTTCAAATATCCAAAAAAAGAACATGAAGCTGAACTTATTGTACGCATTGTAGAGATACTTGCTGTTTATGGGGATGAAGGAAGGCACTGGATTAAAGCTAATTTTTCTAATTTGTATTCGTTTTTTGATGAGGTCCTTTCAGAAATTAAAAACGAAACTCATAACTTGAACCTGAAGAATCCTAGTAAAAATTTAAAATTAATTAATCGATGTGTTGGTTTGACTTACAATGGTGAAATTCAACTTGTAAGTGGAAATATCTGCGAAAACTTACGCAATTTTCTGAGCTCTAGTGAAAATTGCTTTTATATAAAAAGTGATGCAGACAAATGTCAATTACAATGTAACATTATATATGCTTATTTAAAGAGTATATTCCAGAAAGCATCACCTGATGAATATTTCTTTTTCACATTTCATGATTGCAGCAAGCTTTTAGAGGATCTTGTTGTTGAAATTTCTTCTGCAAGTGTTAGTTTAATTACTCTCGTATATACAGAAATTAAAATTCCAAAGCATCGACTGAATAAAATGTTGAAAAAGTTTTTATCTGCTCTTGACTCATCTACGAAAAAAATAATTTTTATCGTTATTGATCAAAATTCTGGCGACTTTGAAGAAGCTCTTAATTATGCTATTTTTCGATCAA